TACACAAAGTGCAACCAAAGAAAATATGGAATACTTTTTATTTATATACCTATTATAACATTAAATATTTACGAGTATTTTGCTATAGGTACAATGTACATATACTATTGTTATGCTATATATATATTTATATTTTATATAAACTATGCCTCATATAATATGATATTAGAGATTTGATGAATTTGGTTCTATAATTTGTTCAATTGAATTAGAATGAYACATAAGTATAGTTTTTGAATTAGAAATTAAAATTAACTGTATTAATTATTAAAGGCTTTTATTTCTATCATTTTAAAATAGAATAATCAATTTATATTGATTGTTTACTCATGTTGAGTTTGTTAAATCTAYTAAATAAGAGGTAACCTAATAATTAAAACTACAATAGAACCTCGATTAACTGTCAGTCTCGGAACCAGAGCTTTGACGGATAATCTAAAAGAAGCGAGCAACAACAATTTATTTAAACATACATACATATTATTTATTATTTTTCTTTAGTAATTATGACATACCTACATATTGATATAATTAGGTAATAACTTACATTATTATTATTATTTTTTAATTTATTAAAAAGTTATATTATTTACAATTACATACATACTTAACAATCAATATTATAAAAGTCGGTTAATTTTTGTTGTTTTAACATATTACGTGCTTTTTTGGCTGCCATATCTATTTAAGTGGCCTGACGGTTAATTGGGGGACGGATAATCGAGGTTCTACTGTAAGTATTTATGTTTAATATTTCTTAAACTATGGGTCATATTTTCACAAATAGAATGCTACAATGATTTCTCATTTTCACACATTTTGTTGACGTTTTCCTTGCATTGCTTTATTAATGATTATAAATCAATAAGTCACTTAATAATTATTGTATAACAAAATTTATTGTTTTAGGGCACCAAGTTCGATAATATTAAGTGTATATTATCAGAGTAAAAATTTCATTGGACATAATCGAATAATGACTTATACATTCGGTCAATTTATGGGTAAAAA